CAATTAATTTGCACAAGGGTGTATATGCACATATACATGAATATATAGACACACATTACATTATTAAGTCCTGAGAAATACAAGGAAAGAAAATATACACATATCAGTAATATATTGACACAGCCTAGCAACCTATCCTTTCGCTTGCATAAGGATAGTTTTGATTCAATATAAATTGCCTTGGTTGTTTTCTTAAAATGTATGAAAGTTAATCTTTAAGAATAGATCATGTCATACCTATCTTTCAAATAAGTTTCACAATTTACCTTTTTAAAAGTGTCAGTGTGAATCTGACACACACACACACACACACACACACACACACACACACACACACACACACACATACATATATATATATATACAGGTTGTCCATAAAGTTCGTGTGGACTTTAAAAGTTTTTTTAACCTTATTTGTATTTGCGATAGAAATAATCTGTAAAAATGTTATGTACCTAGTTTTAAGTATAGCTAAAATAACTAATGTGATTTCAGGCATTACTGTAAATCAGTTGGCAAATGTTTTCCGTGAACTGCAAAATTGTATTACCCTTTGTATTGCTAATGATGGAGGACATGTGGAAACTTAAATAAAATTTCAATAAAACCTTAAAAAACATAGATATACTTCTTTCTAATCCTTTTCACAAATTATTTCTATCGCAAATACAAATAAAATTATAATTTTTTAAAGTTCACACGAAATTTATGGTCATCCTGTATATATGGTATTCCAGTAACTTTGACTGATTTTAAATGTGAATTAAGTTTAAGGGTCTAATGATTTTTTTCTTTTTCTTTCAGATTTAACAACGTATGTCTTAGCAAATTTCAACCAATCGAACAACATGTTAAATTTTCAAGAGTGCAACTGGAAAAATTGTTCGTAAATTGTTCTCCCCCAAGCTATGGATAAATAGCAGGTCAGACCATGTTCTATAGCCTTGGATGGTAATTGGTCAACCGCAGAAAGAAATGGCAACCTGATGTGGGGAAAAATATGCATCGTCAGTCATGTATGGAAAGATACATGATCGCCTAAGTCTGTATGGTATAAGTCTTTGTGTAAATGTTCATTTAATTATTATCTTAACAACATAAATAGAAAATGACTCAAATTAAGCAGATATATAAAGGCAGATCAGAAAATCTGTGGCCTTATGTATACGATATTCAAATGCTTCTGTCCCATAATGGTTAGTACATTTGCATACATATTTCATACACTAAAATGTACCAACTCTTATGGGATAGAGGTAGGATTTTGTTAAATCAGAAATTGACTCCAGATAAGCAGAGATATAAAGGCAGATCAGAAAATCTGTGGCCTTATGTATACGATGTTTAAATGCTTCTGTCCCATAATGGTTAGTACATTTGCATACATATTTCATACACTAAAATGTACCAACTCTTATGGGACAGAGGTAGGATTTTGTTAAATCAGAAAATGACTCCAGATAAGCAGAGATATAAGGGTAGACAGAAAATATTTGGCCTTTCTTATGTAGACGAGCTCCAAATGCAAATATCTCATAATTGTTGGTACGTTTAGATACACATTTAATACCCGAAATGTACCAACTATTATGGGATAGAATTAGCAGAGAATAAACTTGATGCCTTTGCCCACAGACCACAAGTATTTCAAGTCATATCTTCAAATTTTATGCAAACAAAAAGATATATCTCTGTAGTCTATGTATTCGTATTGGCGTGTTTTTTGTTCTGTGTGTGCTTAAATAGCGTGTAACATCAGTACTAACATTGAATAGTTTCAAAGTATTAATTTTTATGATTTGCTGGGCGCGTTGTGGTGTGGAAAGTTTCGGGTCTTTGGGCAACCATTTCTTTTTGTTTTTTTTTCTCTTTAGGTCCAGTACCAAATCACTCATCCGTCTACGGGTCTTTTGAAAACCAGAATGACACCTTTAAATGAAGCAGCGGCATTAGCCCACCCACATTAAAGAAGTGACGTCAGGTGTGAAATGACGTCATCGTTACCAGTGTCGCCGAATGATGATTGCGAAGACGGAGTGTTAATGTATTTGCTATTTTTTATTACAAGGCGATTATGATGGTATAAGAGAGAGAGAGAGAGAGAGAGAGAGAGAGAGAGAGAGAGAGAGAGAGAGAGAGACGCACGCATACACACAGACAGAGAAATTGAGAGGGAGACAGAGAGACAGAGAAAATCTATCTATCTATCTATCTATCTATCTATCTATCTATCTATCTATCTCTTCCAATCTGTTGCTATCTATCTATCTATCTATCTATCTATCTATCTATCTATCTATCTATCTATCTAGCTAGCTCTTCCAATCTGTTGCTATCTATCTATCTATCTATCTCTTCCAATCTGTTGCTATCTATCTATCTATCTATCTATCTATCTATCTATCTCTTCCAACCTGTTGCTATCTATCTATCTATCTATCTATCTATCTATCTATCTATCTATCTATGTCTTTTCAATATCTATCTATCTTTTGTCAAGCTCTTATCGATTCATTCTAATTCTCTCTATCTTACACATTTTACCTCTATTTCTTTCTCTATCTCCCTTTCTCTTAATTTCATATATATATATATATATATATATATATATATATATATATATATATATATATATATATATAATGAACATAGGTCAACACTTAGAGAGAGAGTCTATTTCCTGCTAGACGCAATCGTCTCATTGCATTTAGCATGAAACAGACTGTCGCCTCTAAGCGTTGACTTCTATGTTCACATTTATATTTACACACACTCTATCTCTGATATTGAGCACTTTATCCCATAAATATAGCACACCTTAAGACTATATTTTTTATATTTATATATATATATATATATATATATATATATGCAGAACTGAAGAGAGGGGTTCAGAAGTGATCCTTGAATTGCCATGAGGTGCCAACCTGGCCATGTGCCCAATGCAATCGGATATGTCTGTCCAGGGCAGGTCTGCTCAGTCACCAGAAATTACACCAACACCAACATCAACAAACTATTGCATGTGACGATTTCATACTGGCATGCTTTGAATGTCCGACCTGCACTAGACTGTGTAAGTCCAGGTCGGGCCTGACAAGGCATATAAAAAGACACATTGGAAGTGATGATGATCAGAGTCAACTTCCACCACCCGTAGATGATTTGATATGCCACATATGTAAATGTAGATTGATGGCTGGCCTTATGAGCCACTATCGTTCACACAACCGTTGAATACAGTGTTGTGGAGGGGTGGGGTAACTGATGGACCGGACATGTCAGTGATGGTCATACTCGTTTGATGAGTTCACAGCCACTATATATATATATATATATATATATATATATATATATATATATATATATTTAGTTGATTGATGTGAGTTTGTGACCCTGGGTTTCACGCTATTTGCGATCGTCAGGCAAACTAATGAATTTTTTTAATTTTGGATTTATGTATGGTTGCGTATATCGGTGTTTTTATGAAGGTGGGAGGAAAAATTGTCGTCGGGACACCACTCATACTTACGCAAACATACATACACGCCCGTACACTCATTGACGTACGCAGACACACACACACACACACACACACACACACACACACACACACACACACACACACACACACACACGTACGCCCACTCACCAGAGCTTACACAAACATAAACATATGTGAACAATGTGGGACTGGGCATATATGCGCATATATATATCGTTGCGCACATACGTACGCATTTGGTTGCTGTATCCCACGTTGGATTGTGTAGCGAATATTTTTTGTTTGTTGCGTTGTCAACGCGCAGACCGTTTTTCTATTTTTGTTCGCTGAATAATGTCTTCTACGTATGACGGGGTCTGTGTAAGACTATTATAGGTAAAAATTGCTATTATTTTTTTAATTTTAAGGCTGTTTTGTTATTACTTTAAAGCCGGTTATTTGCTTGTTTTTGGCGATTGTACATATGTAAATGGTAGAAATTCCACTTTGTAATACTTATTAGTATTTATGCCATGGTATTAATTTAAGGGAGAAGTAAGTATAATTGTAGACTGATACGGTAATGGTAATTGTGGACTAATACGGCAATGGTAATTGTGATGTGGTAGTAATGGTAAGGAGAGCGGGTAATGATAATAACAATTTTAGCAGCAAATAGTTATTGGAAAGTGGTAGGAGTGATCGTAGTAATGGTGGTGGAATGATAATAACAATAATTGTAATTATTATGATGGTAATTTGAACTAGAAAATAATTGGTGTTATGGTGTCAGTGGTTTTCTCTTTTCATGTTTATAGGGTTAATGGTGGTTTATGTTGTAGTGTTTTTTGGTATTTTTTTTATCCGTTTGGAATAAATTCTGATAATAGGTATTTATTTTCATGCCTGCATTTGGAAATTATTTCTGGTCTTATGTTTAGTAAATTCTTTCATTGGGTATGAAAAATTATTGCTACCTTTTCGTGTAGGCATTTCTTTGTAATGTTGGTTTAGGCAGGTGCTTTTTTCAATATTTTCCAGCTTATTCTTGGTGTAATATTTCTGTCTTTAAGATGTCATGTGTATGTGGATAGTGTAGTGCTGTTCGAGTATATTCTGTTGGAGAATGAAAGATCGTGGTTGTTTTTTCTTTTCTTGAATGGTCCCTCAGTGGTATCGATGTAGAACATTGTGCTGTTGTTTGAACTTGCCTTGGCTTTATATATTAAATTCGTTTGTTGGCAATTTCCTTACAGAGGGCATGTTGTTTTATTTCTGCACTTGCATTGAGATTCCTTGGTTGCATTATTGTAGGTTGTTATTTTTTTGTTGTGGCTTTTTATTATTTGTGTTATGTCTTTTGTGTAGCTGTAACTGATTTTAACGTTATTTTTGTTAAATAGTTTTGCTAATCGGTTTGTTTCACGGAAGTGCTTTTCTATTAAGTTTAATGTCTCTCTTTCTCTCTCTCTCTCTCACACACACATATATATTATTATATTTGTTGCTTTTTTTATTACAAGACGATGACACTGGCATAAGAGGGAGAGAGAGAGAGAGAGAGAGAGAGAGAGAGAAATTGAGAGAGATAAAAGAGAGAAAGAAGATTCTATCTATAATTGGGATCAAATGCAGATCAAATATAGATCTGAATCCGACAGTATGATAAGATACAGAACAAATTGGAAACGTTCATCAATCCAACATATTTCATATTTATTAAAGCTTCATCAGAGACTGAGATATGCCGAAAAAGAAGGAAGACATTCCGGTATTTTTTGTTTTGGGGCTGTTTAATTTTCTTTGGTTAATCAAGTTTCACGTGAATTCGACTTGTTCAACAAACGTTAGTATAATTTATAGCGGTCCGAAATCAAGGAGAGACGACGCGTTCCTTCGAAGCTCCAATCCACGCATTCACTTAAAAGTAAAAATAAAATCATCCTTGATAATTGCTAAAGGAATAGCCGAAAGCGCTCGGACATACAAAACAATTTCTACATACTTTATGTCCAGAAAGGAAAAAAAAGTATAAGAACACTAGAAAAATTAAATGAAAGTTTCACAGTTTTAAAGTACTTTGTCAGTTGATTTCAGCGAAACTTATATAAAATAGGGATTGCTGCCCAAATACACAATTATATATATATATATATATATATATATATATATATAAAACTCAAACACATAGTCTCACTAACATAAAATTTTGTTTTTCATACCCGGAGTTATATTTTTCGATTTCTTTTTTAATTTGTAGGTCTGATGAATTGGATCGTGATTACGATTCCAATGTAATAAATTATAACCATGGAATATTAGTGTTTCAGCCTTTTATATTATATTCTTACTTTGTCCTGGACATTGAGTTCTACCTGGATTCTATCCTCTTGGAATTTATTTATATAAATATATATATTTATATACATATATATTTTATTGACCACTAATATTATATATATATATATATATATATATATATATATATATATATATAGAGAGAGAGAGAGAGAGAGAGAGAGAGAGAGAGAGAAGGAGAAGAGAGGGGAGGGGGGGAAAGAGAGATAAAAACAGGGACTTTTCAAATTTCATTGTTTGGATCATAGCCGTCTATAAAAAAAAACAATTTTTGTTTTTTTTGGCTATTTTACGGTTTCATTTCGTTTCGAATTCAAAGGTGTAAGATTAAAAAAGAAACAGCAAAACTACAATGGTTATCGACTGAAAAACAAAAGACCAAAATGGCGACGGAGTGAGAGAGAGAGAGAGAGAGAGAGATGCTGAATCAGAGTGAGAAAACAAGAAAGAGATGAAGCGTAGAGGGTAAAGAAAAATAGACAGACAGAGAGGCAGAGAGAGCGAGAAAGGGAAAGAGAGAAAGAGAGAGAGAGAGAGAGATGAGGAAATAGAGACGAAGAATATGTAAGCGAGAAAGTTGGGGAGAAAGAGAAGAGAGTGTGTTTGTGATGAGACAGAGAAAATGACAAGGAGTGGGAGTAGGTCTAAGACAGAGAAAGATAGAGAGAGAGAGAGAGAGAAAGAAAGAGAGAGAGAGCGTGTGTGTGTGAGAGGGAGAGAGAGGGAGCGTGTGTTTGTGTGAGAGAGGGCAGAGTATTAAAGTGAATCTTATTGAAATGGGCTATTTCGATCCGGATATATATATATATATATATATATATATATATATATATATATATATATATATATATAGAGAGAGAGAGAGAGAGAGAGAGAGAGAGTGTATGTGAGAGAGTGTGAGCGTGTGTGAGAGAGAGAGAGCGTGTGTTTTGTAAGAGAGGGCAGAGTATTAAAGTGAATCTTATTGAAATGGGCTATTTCGATCCGGATATATATATATATATATATATAGAGAGAGAGAGATAGAGAGAGAGCGTGTGTGTGTGAGAGAGTGAGTGAGTGTGTGTGTGTGTGTGTGTGTGTGTGTGAGAGAGAGAGAGAGAACTAAGTATTAAAATGAATCTTATTGAAATGGGCTATTTCGATCACGAGAGATAGACAGAGATAAATAGGTAGATAGTGAATGGAGAAACATTGGCAATTTCAAATCGTTTCATTTGTACCCTCTTACTTCTTTAAATAATAACCTACATTCCTATTTGTGATTGTTATTATAATATTTTGTAAAAAGTTGTTAAGTTGAAATATTTAATGAGGCAATAGGTGTATTTTCACGGGTATTTTACAATCGTGGAGCTCGCAAGAAGCTTATACAAGGGGTTCAAATTTGGAATTCGCTGTCAGTACTAAAATGTTAGGTGATATCTGTCCTCTTATATGACAGTGAATGCTGGACAATACCTAAAGAAGAGTCTTGAAGCAACTGAAATGTGGTTCTACAGAAGGATGCAGAGGATACCATGGAACAATCATGTGAAGAACGTCAAGGTTTTAGAGAAAATGGAAGCCAAAAAGAAACATACTTAACATCAGGAAGAGACAGTTCAAATTTTCTAGGGTACTAAATAAGGAAAGGGGACTTGGTAAATGTGATACCCACAGGACAGACTGAGGGCAAGAGGGTCAAAGGAAAACAACACATTACCTACCTAGTGAGCTTGAGTAAAGGAATGACAGAACAGGGTTTCGGAGAGATAAAAAAAAGTCATAATTTATTTAGAGCTACAAAGGACAGGAAATTGTAGCGAGCCTGAAGAAAAAGGCAATTTTACTGGTTATGCTTTATGCTGCTGGTTACATGACGTATGTACGAACACGCATGCGTACATCTTAGAGAAATATTGGGCATAGATAAAAAAACCTGAAAGCTAATGTGTTTGTTATGTAGTTTAAAAGACACGGTCTAACATAAAAGAAGATAAAAATTATAACACAGAGAGGAGAAAAACTCGGTGAATGAACTTCAAAAAGCAATAATAATAATAATAATAATAATAATAATAATGTGCAGGACTACATTTTTTCAGGCTAGCCCTATTCCAATAATCAAGTGTATCACAATCAATGACGCAGTTCACAACGAGAGGAAAACTACGCCTGGTCAACATTTTATAATGATACGATTCTTTTTTTGTGCTTTTTCCAATATTTCAACATTAAAAGCTAAATAACAACAATAAAAAAGGAAGAAAAAAATCGAATTACAAACAAACAAACAAAAACAGGAAAAAATGGATGAAAAATGATAGTCGTTTGGTGACATTCCACGCATGCACAGTCCAGAGCGGAAACAAGGTCTGCAAGGGATTTCTCGTCATCTACCATTACTAATACTTAAAACCATTGTTCAGTTTCCGAGAAAGAAAAAAAGTACCGACAAGACCATATGATAGCAGACAAATAGAGAAGTGTTTCCAGTGCAGAATGGGGGCAACTGAGTCTGTAATGTAATTGGCAACCGGTTAGAAATCACGTAAGCAACGTAAGTATGACTCAATTGTCTCTGGTTGTCTGTTGGGCGGTCGCCATTTTTACTTTTGACAACGCCATGTTGGTTATTTACGCATATATACTGAGAAATTTCTTTTTTTTCTATTAAGAGTATTTAGTAAGTTTTCTTTTGTCTGGCAAAAGCCTAGAATTTGGTAAAATTTGGTATTCCGAAACGGTCAATCGACAAAGAATTTATAAAAAACGAACAGCTTAACTTCGGCGATCCGACGATAAACTATATTTTCAGTGTTATTTGGCCGACGTATATTTTCTTAATTGTTGATATTTTGAAGTTTAAGTTAGTGTAGCACAAGGCCACGAGTTTGGGGCACTCAAGGATGATCGATTTATTTGAAATAGTTTGCTATATTAACTTGCTGAGCTTTATTTGACGATGTCAACACCTTTCAGCTGGGTTTAGTAATGAGCAGGAGAACGAGAACAGGCCACGCCCGTAGATTAAATATTCGGTTCAGAATTACCTGTAAGTTGTCCAGTTCGATTTATATCTGAGGATGGACGGAGGGCACAACAGTCGAAACTTTGTGAAAAAAACAACAAAGACGAAGACAATAGTCCGAATATAAATAGTGTAAATAATATATATACAGTAGGGGGGGGCAAATATTTGTATACATACAAATTTTTAATTTATTATATTTCCAACTAATAAATAAACATACTTTTCATATATTTAACTGTACACAGATGCATAATAACTAAATATGCATAGAAAACAGAAAAAATGATTTAATAAAAATAAATCCCATTTATTCATTTTAATGGGTGAAAAGTATTAGTAGAATACAAAAAAGAATACATACTCTTCATTTAATATTTTGTAGAGTAGCCATTATTCACTTCTACAGGAACCAACCACTCTTTTGTAGTTCTCAATTAATGACTTGTTAATTTTAGTTGGTATTTTGTTCTATTCTTCTTCGCATATGGTCTTCAGATCCGGGAGGTTTCTTGGTGTTCTCGATTGAATTTGAATTTTCAAATAACGTTTTCCCCGACTATATATATATATATCTTCAATTTTACAGCCAACAACCTCTTCTCAATTAATGATTTGTTAATTTTAGTTGCTATTTTGTTCCATTTTTGTTCGCATATGGTCATCAGACCCAGGATGTTTGTCGGATTGGATTAGAATTTTCAAATAACGCCACAGATTTTCGATTGGATTTAAATCTGGGAAGCGATTTGATCATTTCAGGATATGTAGATTATTTTCAGCAAGTCATTTCTTCGCAGATTTTGCTATCTGCTTAGGATCATTATTTTGTGGGAAGATCCAATCAGGAAGAAGTTCAAGATTTTCAACCGAAATCATTAAATTTTCTTCCAAAATATTTTGATATGCTGCGGCATTCATTCTACCATCTATTACTGATAAGTTGTCTGTAGCTTTTGCAGAAAATCATCCCCAAACCATGATGCTGCCACCATTTCACTGTTGGAACTTTGTCCTTTTGTTTGAAAGCATCGCCATCTTTCCTCTATACATGATTTCTAGAATTACGTCCAAACAAATCAATTTTGATTTTTTTCTCTCCATAATACTCTTTCCCAATACTATTTTTCCTTATCCTTATATTCACGAAAGAATTTCAACCTGACATCTCTGTGTCTTTTCAATAGCAGTGGAGTTTTTGAAGGGGAGAGTGACTTTAGATTGTTCCTATGAATTTCATTGCTTATTGTTCGTTTAGTGACACAGATTCCTGATAAAAGCAAATCATCTTGCAACTCTTGACGAGTAACCATTGGATTTTGTTTAATTTGACGCATTAATTTCCTCGATGATCTTGAAGAATTCTTCCGTGGAGCACCTGTTCTTCTTTGGTTTTCAACAGTTTTGAGCTTTTATATCTTGTAATGAATGAGCTAATGGTAGTAAATGGAATATTCAGGTTATCTGAGATTTTCCTGTATCTTTTACCTTCTTTCCAGAGCTTAACAATCAGTTCTTTTTGTGAATTTGTCAATTCCTTATCTCTTGCCATGATGAAAATCTTCTTGCACAAATATCAATTACAGAATGTTCTATTTGTAATTTTTAGGTTAAAAATAATTATTGATAGAATTATTGAAACATTCTAGAATAATACATTTGAATAATCTAGAGTATTGAAGCAATTTAAGTTTTAAAATCTGAAATTTGCATTGTACGAATACTTTTTTCACCCATTAAAATGGATAAATGGTAATTATTTCTATTAAATCATTTTTTCTGTTTTCTATGCATATTTATATGTGTACGAATATTTGTTTCCCTCACTATATATATATATATATATATATATATATATATATATATATATATATATAACGCGGTGTGACAGTAAAATTCTACAAATCGTGTAACAGCAAAATTGTCCAATTGATTAAGTTTTGAACCGTTGTATCTTAGAAATGATTAAAGATATGTTACTGGAATCCCCCGAGGGTTTTATAACACTATTGAACTCTACTTTGAGCAATAAGAATGTATAATTACCCTCTAAACTTAACCCAAAAATCGTGATGAAATCGATCATAAACGAAAATGACATGTTCATCATTAATTAATCATAGCTAAGGATCGGAAGCTCATGAAGGATTGAAATAGTTCTAATATATATATAGTATTCCAGGATCTTTTACTAACTTATTCAAGATGGTCTTCGCCCTCTCTAACCTTCTAACTTTCTGTCCTGGAGTAACAATGTACTTCAGAGTTTTCACGTGCGATTTCATTTTCAAGTCTTTTTTCACTTCACTTTGGACTCTCATACATGAAACTCATTTATTACGTGCTAACCGTCTTATGGATTAAGTTAGATCTTTTCTAATTGATCTCTTTAGCTTTAAGTTGAAATGATGATCCCTCTCCCTGCTGTGACCTCTTTATCCAGTTTTTCTCTCTACTGTTCCCCATTTTTTGAACTTATTCACCATTCTCTTGATGGTTCATGAATAGACTTTGAAGCTGGAAGCCGGTGTATGACTGGTGGTACCATTACAGAAAGCCTGACTGATCTTTTTCCTCTCACCATTGATCATTTGGTAAAACAGCGGGTATGACACAAAATGATTTTAACCTATGTAACTAGTCACAACACATTACATTGCATCTAAACATACGGTTCTGTTGTTAAAATTTCGTTCTCTCACGTTGTACGACGTCATAGAACCGCATCACGAATTTACGACTTGCGTCTGTTATTCTGCGACCGTTACCGCCGCGCTCCAATCTTCTATGTCAGCATAAGAGAATATCATTTTTGATGGTGAATGTCTTTGTTTGAATGTCCCTATAACCACTCTGAAGATGGCTCATGTGAGTCGAAACCTTAGATCAAGGAACAGTATAGTAAAATATTATCCAAATGTTGGCAAATTTTTCTCTTTATTTTCTCTTGAAGTTAAAGCAAATATACGAAGTTTAGAACGGCTCACGATCAAACATAATAGACCTTCGTTATATTTAATAATATATGCTTGAATATATATATATATATATATATATATATATATATATATATATATATATATATATGTGTGTGTGTGTGTAAAACCACTTGAAAATGTCTAAAGAATTGGTTGAAAACGCTTCCGACAATAGGCAATACAATTCACAACCAAACAATGTTATAATTTGACTTTAAATCCTTCTAATCCTGCCGTTAGTACACACACACACACACACACACATATATATATATATATATATATATATATATATATATAGAGAGAGAGAGAGAGAGAGAGAAAGAGAGAGAGAGAGGGGAGAGAGGAAGTCAGAGTATCTCCGGTGTCGTTAATGTCGGATTCTATAGAGATGACGGTGTAATTCTCCTCTGTAAAATAACCCCACAAAATATAGACCGATTGAGAAAGGTACTGATGAATTTTTTTAAAGATCACAAGGGAAATATTACCACTAGCACCAATGCTAAAGTAATCAACTTTTTCCATGCCACCTGAGACTTGAATACTGGTTTTTACAAAACATATACCAAAGATCTATATAAATCTTATATAAATCTTATATATATCTTTCCCAAACGCTGTTCTACGAACTATTTACCCAGGCTAGTTAGTTATGCGCTGTTTTTCTCTGTCTCTCTTGCCTTCAGACTGTACTGCGAACATCAAACCATGGTATCCTCAGCATCCTTCTGTAGAGCCATATTTATGCTGCTTCAAGTCTCTTCTTCATCTTTGAGTCGATTATCGAGCGCCCACTGCCACACAGGAGGATAAATATCCCGTAACAGTTTAGTACACTTTTTTCTGTTTCTAGCGAAGCTTTTCTATTTATCAGTACTCTACTTAGTTTTTGGAAGGCATCTTTCGCTATCCCAGTATGCCTTCAGATTTCACCATCACACTTTCCGTCCTCTGTTAAAACACTTCCCATATATTTAAATTGTTTGATTTCAGCATGTCCAATTTGTAATTTGTATACTGGGCTACCCCTTTTGCTAACAAACGTTAATTTTGTTTTTTTTTTGTGATTGGTGTTTATTCCTTTCTTCTCGCTTTCCTTCACTAACTTCTGTAGGAGTTCTTTCCGTTTCCTTTCTGTATCTTTTATCAACACTGTGTCATCTGCATATCTTATGTTAATACTGTGGCTGCCAATAGTAAATCCTAGTAGGACTTCTAGTTCTCTCAGAATTGCTTTCCTTCATTACCTTCTGAGTTTTTGTACCTTTCTTTCTGTGTCTGCTACAGAAGTCACTACACTGCATTTATGTGGTGTAAATTTTGCCTCCATTATTAACTGTGGCTAAATTCAAAATCACCGTCCCTCAGTTAACAACTGACATGTTTAAAATCTATCTATCTATCTATCTATCTATCTATCTATCTATCTATCTATCTATCTATTATAGTAATTCACCCACGCACGCATGGGATCTCCCAGCTATAAATAGGAGCAGGTACTGACTTTTAGAGAGGAAGTTTCCAGCAGTCAGCTCTGACAGTCGGACCGAACATTCTTGCTGTAACACTCTCATTTGTATATGTTTGTATTACTGTTTCTGTTAATATATTTGTTTAACTCAATTCCTCTTTTTGTGTCTTTATTTCTGCCCCTAACAAGGCAACAGTACTATCTATCTATTATGGTAATTTTCCCACGCACGCATGGAATCTTCCAGCTATAAATAGGAGCAGGTACTGCCTTTTAGAGAGGAAGTTTCCAGCAGTCAGCTCTGACTGTCCGACCGAACATTTTTGCTGTAACACTCTCGTTTGTATATATTTGTATTACTGTTTCTGTTGATATATTTGTTTAACTCAATTCCTTTCTTGTGTCTTTATTTTTGGTCCTAACAAGGCCACAACATTTCTCTTTCTTCAAAACGAATAAAAAAGGGGGGGAAATGATTTAGAAATTTACTTGTATTTACAGTATACTAACCGAAGTAGCGTACAAAATATGGGACTAATTTTCAGATTTATTCACTTTATAAACATTTAGAAAAATGTTACGAAAGTGACATTAAAATTGTTTGAAGCTGGTTAACACAAACCCATTACAGGCGTAGATAATCTGAAATAGCGGTTATGGACAAATTCTCATGTAACGACCATGTCGATGGAACCGGTCGTTAAGCAAGACTTTTTTAAACACAGCTGTTTCTAGACCCCCACCCCCATCATTCGCTAATTTCGCTATTTTCAATGAATATGGTCACTTCTATTTTCATTTTAAATTTTCGGCTTACAGACGAATGTATACCATTTCTATGTAAATTGCCATATTGTTGGGTGTGTGATTTTTACATTTGTAGACAAGCTGGATGACTGGTTAATTAGGTAAACAATAATGAGATATTTATGTTATGAACAATATCAAACTGAGCAACACAAATACGACAGAAAGTCAAAAAATTATCCGAACTTTCGCTATAACATATCTTTAGACAAGAGTGCGGATAATTTTTGATTTTCACTCGTACAAAAGGATGCATGCCTAAGTTTTATAAACAACGCAAGAACGTTTGATAACGTACGTTACAAAGAACTATTTGAACTGCCAGGTAAGCTTGATTCATTTGACAAAGAACTATTTGAATTACCATGTAAGCTTGATTCATTTGACAAACAACTATTTGAACTGCCAGGTAAGCTTGATTCATTTGACAAAGAACTATTTGAACTGCCAGATAAGATTGATTCATTTGACAAAGAACTATTTAAACTGCCAGGTAAACTAGATTCATTTGACAAAGAACTATTTGAACTTCCAGGTAAGCTTGATTCATTTGATAAAGAATAATTTGAACTGAAATGTTAGCTTGATTCATTTGATAAAAACTATTTGAACTGCCAGGTAAGCTTGATTCATTTGACGAAGAAATATTTGAACTGCTAGGTAAGCTTGATTTATTTGACAAAGAACTATTTGAACTGCCAGGTAAGCTTGTTTTATTTGACAAAGAACTTTTTGAACTGCCAGGTAAGCTTGATTTATTTGGCAAAGATATCAGTATAATCCAGTATAATACTGGTAACCTATACTTCAATAAATATACAAAAACAGAAAGCGTTATTAGACAAGAATATGCCTTCTCATCGGACTTATTCAACCTATACAGAGGCAAAACTGAGAGAATTAAAAGTCCTACCTTATTGGCATCGATAATTTTAGTAATAGAAGATATTCAAATGATAATGCGTTGAAAGCGGATTTGTTCATTTTATTTTATTTATATATTTCTATTAGTTGCCATATGCAAACAAATGCGAACTCCGTCGTTTTTGTTTTTCTTTCTTTCTTTCTTTTTTCTTATTCTTTCTTTTTTCTTATTCTTTCTTTCTTTTTCTTCTTCTATCCTTTTAGTTTTTCTTTCCCTTTCCTTTTTCTTTATTTTTCCTTAATGTTTCTTTTTCTTTCTTTCTTTCTTTCTTTCTTTCTTTCTTTCTTTCTTTCTTTCTTTCTTTCTTTCTTTTTCTTCTTTTCTTTATTTTTTCTTTCCTTTTCCTTTTTCTTTATTTTTCTTAAAGTTTCTTTTTGTTTGTTTGTTTGTTTCTTTCTTTCTTTCTTTTCCCTTTTATTTTTTCTTTCCTTTTTCTTTATTTTTCTTTAATGTTTCTTTTTCTTTCTTTCTTTTTTCTTTCTTTTTCCTCCTTTTGTTTTACTATGTTCTCCTTTTTCTTTCTTTCTTTTTCTTTTTTTTCTTCCTTTTTCCCTAAGATGTTAGTATAATCCAGAACCTATATTGGTAGTAAACGAATAGAAAATGACTTCAATAAATATACAAAAACAGAAAGGCTTATAAGACAAGGATGTGTCATCTCTCCGGACTTATTCAACCTATACAATGAGGCAATACTGAGAAAATTAGAATTCCTACAAGGGTTTATTATTTACGGTAACAATCTTAACAACATTAGATATGCAAATGACACAGTGTTGATAGCAGACACAGAAAGGCAAATACAGGAACTCCTACGAAAGGCAGTGAAGGAAAGCAAGAAGAAAAGACTAAGCATCAATTGCAAGAAGACAAAGTGTATGGTTGTCAGCAAAAGATGCGAATTGCGAACTGTAGACTTCAAAATGAAGCAAGTACAAAAATTTAAATATCTTGGAAATTTTTTAACAGAGGACAGAAAATGAGATATGGAAATTAGAAGACCCATTGGGATAGCAAAAGATGCCCTCGAGATGTCAAGCAAATTATTAAGTAACACGAAAATTTCGTTAGAAACAAATAAAAAAGTACTGAACTGTTATGTAATATCAGCCCTCCTATAAGGCAACGAATGCTGGAAAAACTCCTCACAGATGAAGAAGAGTTTTGAAGTAACATAAATGTGGTTCTACAGAAGGATACTGAGAATACCATGGGCTGAACATGTGAGCAACAACGAAGTTCTAGAATCAAGGGAGACAAAAAGGACACTTATACTTATCAGAAAGAGACAGTTGAGCTTTCTAAGGCACATAATGAAAAAGGGCGGCTTGGAAAATCTGATACTCACAGGACAGATTGAGGTTAACAAAGACAGAGGAAAACAGCGGATGACATGATTAGAGAGCTTGAGTAATTGAATGGTGGAACAGGATTTAACGGTAAGATAAAGTTTGTTTAGAGCTACAAGGGAGAGGAAGTTGTGGAGAGCCATGATCGCCTACGTCCTGAGGTGACACATCACATAGAAAAAAAGAGTGTCTTAGAAGCCGTTCATCTCTTGATTTTGTCTCTTGTGTATCTTCATATTAAAGAACTAACATTTGACTTATGGTGTTTTATTCTAACATTCTAAAGATTATTTCAATCCTATGCCTTTATTCTAACATTTATTTTTATACATATTCCTTTATTCTACCGTTCATTTTTCAAACCTATTCCTTTATTATACCGTTCATTTTTCAATCCTATTCCTTTATTCTACCGTTTATTTTCAATCCTATTCCTTTATTCAACCGTTTATTTTCAATCCTAATTCTTTATTTAAACGTCTATTTTTTTTTTACTTATATTCTTTTATTCTAACGTTTATTTTAATTCTTATTCCTTTATTCTAACATTTATTTTTATCCGTATTCCTTTATTCTAACATTTATTTTTATCCGTATTCCTTTATTCTACCGTTTATTTTCTATACTATTTCTTTATTCAAACGTCTATTTTTTTATCTATATTCTTTTATTCTAACGTTTATTTTCAATCCTATTCCTTTATTCTAATGTTTATTTAATTCATATTTTTATTCTAGCGTTTATTTTTAATTGTATTCCTTTATTTTACTGTTCATATTTTTCAAAACTATTCCTTTATTCTACCGTTTATTTTTCTAACCTATTCTTTTATTCTACCGTTTATTTTCAATTCTATTCCTTTATTCTAATATTTATTTTTTATCTGTATTCTTTAATTATACCGTAATTTTTTAATCCTATTCCTTTATTCTACGTTTATTTTCAATTCTATTCCATCATTCTAATATTTATTATTTATCCATATTCCTTTGTTCTACCGTTTATTTTCAATCTTATTCTTTTATTCTACCGTATATTTTCAATTTTATTCCTTTATTCTAACTTTTATTTTTTATCCATATTCCTTTGTTCTACTGTTTATTTTCAATCTTATTCCTTTATTCTACCGTTTATTTTCAATTCTATTCCTTTTATTCTAACATTTATTTTTTTTATCCGTATTCCTTTATTCTAACGTTTATTTTTTTTATCAGGATTAATTTATTCTGACATTTATTTTCTATGCTATTCCTTTATTCTAACGTTCATTTTCATTCATATATCTTTATTTTTTGTTTAATTTCATTCACATTCCTTTATTCTAAGGTTTATTCTTTTACGCTAACAATCATTTTCAGCCATATTCCTTCATCGTATCATTTCAATTCATATTCTGCCTTATTAACATCGCCATTCATATTCCTTCATTCTAACATTCATTGTGATTCATATTCGTTTGCTCTTTTCATTCATAATCCTCGATTCTCACATGCATTCGTCGTTGGGGAAATTCTTTACCTCTCAACCGATAATAATCCCTCCTTTTAACTTAATTTTCTTAGACACCTGCTTCACATGATAATCTTAATAACAATAGGAAAATGCTTAATTGTCTTTCAACCGACAATCATCTCCACTTTTTATACATTTTGATGAGACATCTTAAATATGAATTTCCGGCAGGGTTGAACTACTGAAAGAATTAGACTGTCACGTATCTGTGATTAAACTTTATGACACGTGAAGAAATGGTTTCTCTAGGAGCATTCATCATTCTACACGGTTCGCCACAAAAGCTTAGTGTTTTGTGAGAGCTCAAGAAAACAGCTTTGTGCTAAAACAGACGATGGGCCGAACATGTGAGCAATGACGAGGTTTTAAGAGAAAATGGAAATAAAAAGGGAACTTCAATATCTGTTTATATCTATGAGATAAAGTATTATGATTACTTACATTATTTACACTATTCGGACTGCCATCTCCATCTTCACTGCAACATTCACAACGTTTCGGCCGTTGTGCGCTTCGGCCTTCTGGGACAGTGGATAAAGACGATCTAGTGACTAGACCCAAAGAGTTATGAGTTTAACACCAGCAGTGGTGAACCAAACTTGGAGAGTCGAGTTAAAGGGAAATTAAAGAGACATCCGGAAGAGGCATGGCACGTGGAATTAGAACAATCTACACCGGTAGACGAAATAAAGGGTTCCGTTCGAAATTTCAATCACCTGAAGAAGGTCAGAGCGTACAACGGCCAAAACGTTGTAAATGTGGCAGTAGGGATGGGATGGCAGTAGTATAAATAATGCAAGTAAAATGAAACTTATACTTAACACCAGGAAGAGAAAGTTGAAATTTCTGAGGCACGTAATGAGGAAGGACGGCTTGGAAAATCTGGTACTCACATGGCAGAAGGAAAGCAGGACAGAAGAAAGCAGCTCATAACATACTTGATGAGCTTGAGTAAATGGATGGTAGAATAGGTTTTGGGTGAAATAACAAAAAGACAAAACTTATTAAGATCTACAAGGAACAGGAAGATGTGGAGGGCCATGAGCGCCTAGCTCTTGAAATGGCACGGTACTTAAAGGGAGTTATAAACGTAAAGGAAGTCCTTAAATTCTTTTAATAGAAAGAAGTGAGTGGTCTAGATACAGAAATGAAATCCGGTTATCGCTGGAGAATATTATTTCGATAATAGTATTATTTCTTTATGGTGAAGTAATGCATGGCGGCTCGGATTGAGTAATCGGAGATCCGAGTTCGAATTCCACTTGGAGCCATTAAATTCACTTACATGCTAATACCCTTGGGTAAAGTATGAATCCACTTCTTCTCCCCCCAGCTATGGATAAATAGCAGAACAGACTGGGTTCTGTAGCCTTGGGTGGCAACCAGTTAAGGAGAAAGTAACTCTGAATTAAAAAAAACTGTCTATAGCCCTGACGCAGCACATACTATACAGCTAAAGAAAGGATCGTCCACATTGGCTCGATGATCCCAACTATGGTCGAATGAAGATGGTGTGCCGTGTCCATTCAGGTAGTAGGCGATCATGGCTCTCCAAAACCTCCTGTCCTTTGTAGGCCTTAGTAAAGTTTATTTTTTAAAATTTTATCTTTATTTCTGCCAACCAAGCTTCCTAGGTGGTGTTTTCCTCTGTCCCTCTTGCCTTCAATATGTCCTGTGAGTGTCAAATTTTCCAAGCCCTCTTTCCTCATTATGTACCCTAGAAATTTTAAGTGCTTATTTTATGCTATGTATAAGTGTCCATTTTGTTTCCAGTTTCTCTGAAACTTTGTAATTGCTCTCGTGCTCAGCCCATGGTATTCTCAGTATCCTTCTGTAGAACCGCATTTCTGTTACCTCAGATCTTTTCTCCATATGTGATGAGATGGTCCAGCATTCACTGTCATATAAGAATGACAGATATGACATAACAGTGCGCTAGCTTTTTTTTTCTTCTTTTCTTCATTTTTCTTTCTTTTTTTTGTTTTTCTTTCTTTTTTGTTTTTTTCTTTTTCTTCTTTCTTTCTTTCTTCTTTTTTCTTTTCTTCATTTTTCTTTCTTTTTTTGTTTTTCTTTCTTTTTTGTTTTTTCTTTTTCTTCTTTTTTTCTTTCTTCTTTTTTCTTTTCTTCATTTTTCTTTCTTTTTTTGTTTTTTCTTTTTGTTTTTTTTTTTTTCTTCTTTTCTTCTTTCTTCTTTTTTTTTTTTCATTTTTTTCTTTCTTTTTTTGTTTTTCTTTCATTTTTGTTTTTTCTTTTTCTTCTTTCTTTCTTTCTTCTTTTTCATTTTTCTTTCTTTTTTGTTTTCTTTTTTGTTTTTCTTTCATTTTTGTTTTTTTCTTCTTTCTTTCTTTCTTTCTTTCTTTTTGTTTTTTGTTTCTTGTTTTCTTTTTCTCTTTTTCTTTTTCTCTTTTTCTTCCTTTTTTCTTTTTTCTTTCTATTTTTTCTTTTTTTTAATATCTAAAAAGTAGCTTTATCTTTTTTTTTTTCCAATGAAATTTTCCTTTGCTTATTTTTTGGAAGACATCTTTCGCCATACTAATGCGCCTTCGGATCTCGGTGTCACATTCGTATTGCTCTCTATGAATGGAATTTTTCGCTAAGCCTACAAGCTGTTACCTCACATTAAATTCGGCCTTGTGCCACATCTGACCGCGTAGGCTGGTTGGTAGATATCCTACAGTTTGAGATTTGTCTCCAGTTGTGTTGGTCAAACTCTCTGCCTCCGGACAGAGAGGATCCCCACACGAGGCTATGTCGAAAGGCAAGAGTCTCGTCTCGGGAATCAACTACCCGACCCCTTTTTATACGGGGTCAACGAGGAATTTTTAAATGAGCCTACGGGTTCGGATACCCCACATTAAATTTGGCCTTGTGCCACATCTGACCGCATGGGGCGTTGGTAGATATTCTGCAGAGATTCCTTGTGGAATTCACTTGACTCACTTCTAGCAATTGACTCCTTCTTCTACGCGCCGCTGGCGAATCTTATATGTGTTGTTCGTGTCCTAAGTATTATCGTTCATTACCAACCTTTGAGTGATTATTCTGTTCAGTAACTTTCCCTAGGTTACAACACTTTCCCAACCTAATAATTGATAGATATCTAAAGAAAAGAAAACTTCTTCTTCTTCTTCTTCTTCTTCTTTTTCTTCTTCTTCTTCTTCGTGCGATGACCTTTCAGGAGAAAGGATAATGATCATGGCTCCCTACAATTTCCTAGCACTGTTTATTTCCTGACTATGCGTCTCAACCATCGGTTCCGCTCTGCCCCTCTTGCTTTCAATATGTTCTGTGAGTGTCGAATTCTCCGATCCTACTTGCCTCATTGTTGTGTTTCAGACATTAGAACTGCTCCTTTCTGAGTCTAAGGACAACTGAATGTTCTTGAAATGAAAGGTATCTCTCAATGACTTCAGTTGAACGAATCATTTAAATTCGTAAATACAAAAATTTTCTAACGGAATAACTGTCTGCAAACGCTATCTTTCCCCCATTAGGGGTCATTGACTTGTCAGAAGGGTTCCATCAGTAGGGTGTCGGTAATTTCAACGGTATACTGGTGGCCAGCCAAGGCTATAGGGCCCTATCTTCTATGCTATTTAACCAATAGCTGAGTGGGAAAAAGATAGATTCTATTACATTTCTCGAGGATATTTGCCCGTAAGTGAATGTAATGAATGCGACTAAAATTCGAACTCGTCTCTCCGTTTTCTCGTTCCGTGCCGTTATCTGTTACCTGTCCCGCATATGCAATCTTACAGTAGCCAATCTTTGCAAACAGTTATCCATCCAGGCACTGACCAGGCCCAACGTTGCTTAACTTCCTTGACCGGAAGAGAATCAAGGTTTCAACATGATATTCAGTCACTTTCTTATCGCCGTAACGTAGATTCCCTGTGCTTTTTCTATAAAGATTTTCATGGTTATTGTTTTAGATTTCCTCTTTGGTGCCTAGACTTTACAGATCTAAGCGCAGTACTAGATTGGCGGTAAGGTCTCATCATTTTACACTTGAAATGGTTAGATATGACCGTAAGTTCTATGCTAACTGTTTCTTCTGTCACATTTCTCGCTCGTGGAACTCTCTTTTGGCTTCTGACCTTCCATTCAACTTTGATCTCCAAAAATCTAAATGCAATGTCAATCGTTATCTTCTGTATTCTTAATCTTTTATTGTCCTCTCTCTTCTTAATAGTAGTTTTTCTCATATTCAGAGTAACCCCTAGCATCCTAGTGGCTTTATTGCCTTTGATCTTCAAAAATTTAAATGCAATGTCAATCTTTATCTTCTGTCTTCTTAATTCCAGTTTTTTTATTGTCCTCTCTCATTAATAGTAGTTTTTCTCATATTCTCTAACACTCACTAACCCCCTGCATCCTAGTGGCTTTATTGCCTTTGATCTTCAAAAATTTAAATGCAATATCAATCGTTATCTTCTGTCTTCTTAATTCCAGTTCTTTTATTGTCCTCTCTCATTAATAGTAGTTTTTCTCATATTCTCGAACACTCATTAGTCCCTTGCATCCTTGTGGCTTTATTGCCTTTGATCTTCAAAAATTTAAATGCAATGTCAATCGTTATCTTCTGTCTTCTTAATTCCAGTTCTTTTATTGTCCTCTCTCATTAATAGTAGTTTTTCTCATATTCTATATCTTCTGTTTTCTTAATTCCAGTCCTCTCTCATTAATAGTAGTTTTTCTAAAAAAATTATACTAAAATTACCAACATTATATATTTATAGTAAAATTACAAACGATACATATTTATAGTAAAATTACCAACATTACATATTTATACTAAAATTGTCAACAATACAGATTTATAGTAAAAATACTAACAATACATATTTATAGTTAATTACCAACATTATATGATCATAGTAAAATTGCCAACAATACAGATTTATAGTAAAATGACCAACAATAAATATTTATATAAAAATTACTAACATTATATATTTATAGTAATATTACCAACAATACACATTTATAGTAAAATTAACATTAAATATTTAGAGTAAATTTACCAACATTACATATTTATAGTAAAATTGTCAACAATACAGATTTATAGTAAAAATATTAAAAGTAGATATTTATAGTAAAATTACCAACAGTATATCTTTATAGTAAAATTATAAACAATACTTCTTAAGAGTAAAATTACCAACAATACACATTTATTGTAAAATTAAAATTACATATTTATACAAAAAATGACCAACAATACATTTTTATAGTAAAATGACCAGCAATACATCTTATAGTAAAATGACCAACAATAGATTTTATAGTAAAATGACCGACAATACATTTTATAATAAAATGACCTACAATAGATTTTATAGTAAAATGACCAACAATACATTTTCATTGTAAAATGACCAACAATACATTTTCATTGTAAAATGTCCAACAATACATTTTTATAGGAAAATGACCAACAATACATTTTATAGTAAAATGACCAACAATAGTTTTTATAGTAAAATGACCAACAATAGATTTTATAGTAAAATGACCAACAATAGTTTTTATAGTAAAATGACCAACAATAGATTTTATAGTAAAATGACCAAAAATAGATTTTATAGTAAAATGACCGACAATACATTTTATAATAAAATGACCTACAATACATTTTATAGTAAAATGACCAACAATACATTTTATAGTAAAATGACCAACAATAGTTTTTATAGTAAAATGACCGACAATTCATTTTACAGTAAAATGACCTACAATAGATTTTATAGTAAAATGACCGACAATACATTTTATAGTAAAATGACCTACAATAGATTTTATAGTAAAATGACCAACAATACATTTTCATTGTAAAATGACCAATAATACATTTTCAATGTAAAATGACCAACAATAGATTTTATAGTAAAATGACCAACAATAGATTTTATAGTAAAATGACCGACAATACATTTTTATAGTAAAATGTCCGGCAATACTTTTTACAGCAAAATTACCAGGGATACATTTTATAGCAAAAGGACCAATAATACATTTTATAGCAAAATAAGAAATAATATATTTTATAGCAAAATGATCAACAATACATTTTATCTGCATACAAATGCGTTCAAATATATTCAGTAGAAGCCATAAAATTGTATTCAAAATATTTAAATTTCAGGATTAAATAAGCCATAGACTTTGATCTACTCCTAAACCAAATCAACCCAACAACCAACATGAAAGAAATCGTTCATGACATTAATTCATATAATATTCTACAATTTCTTAAAGAAATCAAACTGTATTCTAAAATAGAACTTCAACAAAACTACAACATAGAACACACATATCACCACCTCTCGTAATTATGTCCACACAAACATGTATATGCATAAAAGCTGAGCATCATCTACCATGTATTCAATTGTGAAAGCAGAATAACATATATTTTTATTACTTCAAAACTTCCCAAGAAAATTAAATTTCAGCATTAAATGACCCATAAGATGTTAATATGCCGTTAAAAAGAGAAATCAATTAATCATTCTTCTTTTTTCTCCTCTTCTCTCTTAACCACATTCTCTCTCCTACTCTCTTTCTTTTACTGTCCACTCACTCACTCACTCACTCACTCACTCACTATCTTCTCGTTTTATTTCGATTTGTTCTCTCTTTCACCTGACTCTCATTGGTTCTCCCTCAGTATCTTTCTCGCTTTCTCTTTTCTCCTCTTCTCCTCTCTCTTTTCCTTCTTTTCTCCTTCCTTTTCCCGTTACTCTACCCACTTTCTCCCCCAACTCTTTCCATACCTCTCAACTCTCACTTTCTCCCCCCGCCCTTTGCTCTCCTCTATCTCTCTTACTCTCCTTCTTTTACTACCACTCACTTACCCACCCTCTCTTTTCTCTTTTCCTTCTGTCTTTCTCTAGACTCTCACTTGTTCTCTGTCCCGCACTTTCCCACCTTTCTTTTTCTTGCTGGCTAAGTAAATCTGTCGTCTGCATCGTAAATCACGAATCTTTGACAAATGAATCGTGCCTGTGTCTAAGCCTTGACAGATTAACAATTTTGCCAGCCGAGATCAATAACGATTTCTATAGGTCCTTTGTATGAAAGAAAAAGTTAATACACCAATTCTCTTCCTTTAAAATATAAGTAGAAGGAATGTAATAAATAAAAGAAACTTATATAAAGACGTTTGCAGTTATTAATAAAAGAATTTTAAACTCGTTGCTGGGTTTGTGTTCTCTGCTCAAATACTAATGAATATTCAAGTAAAATGTTTAAATCGGGATTGGGCAACCTTTTCCGACCAGTGGGCCGCTTATCATAAATGGGTCGTGCAACTAAAAAGATTCAAGGTAAATTTTTCGTTGAAGGTACCTCAGACATTTTCAACACAGAAAACTACAGCGAAAGGCTGATTTTTTTTAAAGAAAATATTTCTTGACAATTATAATTTTTTTATCGGTAAAAATATTATCACAGATGACAGTGGCTAGCATACACTGTTGCATGTGGTGTTTTTCTTATTTATTCATTTGAAAATACAAAAAAATAATTTTAAAAGTAAAAACATATATTTCTTCCCCAGAGAAAAAAATCCAAAGAAGGATCTGCAATGTCATAGATCCTGATCTGGCATCTCGACCTCAGTTACTTTCTTACCGAGGTAAAGTGGCTTCTCTTCGTCTTTCCTACAAATATTTTCATGGGAACTGCTCTGACGAGGTTTTTTTTTTCCTGATGACGTGACCATATGAATTTAAGCGTGCTACTTGATTGGCATCTAGGTCCCACCTTTTTATTGTTCAACTAGCTAGATGCAACCCCATTTTTACTCTAGCAGAATTGTTTCTCGCGCTTTCCATCTCTGGAATTCTTGATAACTACAATGTTCAAAAATTTAAATGCAATACTTCAAGTCTTTGGGGATAATGCCGTGAGTTAACTTATCGCCAGGCATTGGATTCAGGTCGGGGGATCTGTCCCTTTGTGAGGAACGCCGCAGTAGCAGGCCGCAAGTCCTGGAAGATGAGACCCTGAAAGCGGTCACAGAGGAGGACAACAGCCAAACCTGTGGAGAGCTTGCCGAATGCTTCCAGGTTTCTGATGAATTAGTCTGACTTCACCTGAACCGCATAGGCGTGCAAGCTGAGCAAGTGGTTACTGCACACACAGCCAGGAGTCAACAAGCAACAACGTGTGACAACGTGTTTCGTGTTGTTTCCTCGGCATCGCAACGTATCCATATTTGATCGAGTGTTCACCAGTGACGAAAAGTGGATCCCGTATGACACTCCCAATCGTCCCAGACATTGGTTATCACCACGGGCCTCACACCACAAGACCACCCACGCAAGACCATGCTCTGTATCTCGTAGACTAGTCGACAAGTGGTGCACAATGAGCTGCTAAATATTTCTCAATAATTAAAATATTTTTATCGGTAAAATATTATCACACATGGCAGTGGTTAACACACACACTTGCATGTGATTTGTTTCTTATTTATTCATTCGAAAATACGAAAAAAAAAAGAAAACATATATTTCTTCAGAGAAAAACAAAGCTGCGTCCTGTTTCTAAAACAAATGATATTTACACTTATTGTCTTCCTTAGTGAAAATCACCAATCGCTTAAAATGATGAAAACGTTACCTTGAACGAAAAGGTACAAAATTCACGAAACATTGTACATTGTACATTGTGTATGCATGTGGTTATGTACGAGAACATGTGAGTGAACAAGGGAGGGCACGAAATAAACAAATTGATGAGCTCTTAACTATGGTACCTAGACTTTTTGAATTTAACCACAGTACTAGATTGGCGTCCAGATCTCATCAGTTTATAATTGAATTGGTTAGATGTAGGCGTAAGTTCTATGCTAACAGTTGCTTTTCTCGCACTTATCGCTTGTGGAGATACTTTTCTAACTCCATGCTTTCCAGCCAATTTTAATGTTCCTAATTCTTCCACACCCTGTAACCCCTTGTGTCTCAGTGGCTTTACTGCCTTATGGAACTCCCATCCGATGCCATGCTTTCCAGCCAACTTTAATCTATAAAAATTTAAATGTAATGTCAATCGCTATCTCCTAACCTCCTGATTACTCTTTCCTCTTCCCGCTCATTATTAATGTTTCTGTTCCTAATTCTTCCCCACTCTGGAACCCTCTTGTGTCTTAGTGGCTTTTCTGCTTTGCATAGAGTAATTAAAAAAAACAAAAACAAAAAAAAAAAAACGCTATTTTCCTCATGAAATTCGTTGTGCCGTTCAGAAAGCCAAATGAAACGAATGTAGTCAGCTGATCGTAGTTTTCCGATAATTGGCTTAAATTGTGTAAATGATTGCGGACATGATTGTGTACATGATTGTATAAATGACTGTGTACATGATTGTGTAAATGACTGTGTACGTGATTGTGTAAACGATTGCGGACATGATTGTATAAATGATTTTGTACATGATTGTATAAATGATTGTGTACATGATTGTATAAATGATTGTGTGCATGATTGTATAAATGATTGTGTACATGATTGTGTACATGATTGTGTAAATGATTGTGTAAATGACTGTATACATGATTGTGCAAATGATTGTGTACATGATTCTGTACATGATTGTGTAAATAATTGTGTAAATGATTGTATAAATGATTTTGTACATGATTGTATAAATGATTGTGCCCATGATTGTGTAAATAATTTGTAAATGATTGTGTACATCATTGTGTAAATGATTGTGTACATCATTGTGTAAATGATTGTGTACATAATTGTGTAAACGATTGCAGACATGATTGTGTAAATGATTGTGTAAATGATTGTGAACATTATTGTGTCAATGATTGTGTACGTGATTGTGTAAATGATTGTGTACATGATTGTGCAAATAATTGTGTAAATGATTTTGTAAATCATTGTGTACATTATTGTGTAAATCATTGTGTAAATGATTGCGTAAATGATTCTAGTAATCGGATAAGTGTCCTCTTGATAGTCGTTTCCAGAAAACACCGGTTCGCGGGAAGACGTTGCTCGAGTTGAACTTTCATCTCACGAAAGGGAATTCAATGTGGTTCGCTACAGCGTTCCTGGCATGGCGTGTCTTAGCTATGAAGGTCAGAACTGGTTGTCCTAATGAATATAGTTTTTCTAAACGCCTTCCATGGAAATAGCAATTGAGCAGCGAGTGACTTGCGACATTTCGTCTATGGGAAATGGTTTGGAGAGGAGGGGGAATTAATTTGTCACCCACAAGGACGCGGAGATTCTTTTGGACTTCTTCCCGCGAACCGGTGTTTTCTGGAAACGACTATCAAGAGGACACATCCGATTACTAAATAGGAAAGTGAAGACTAGGCAGCTCGTGCCTATATATGACAGCAGTACTCCATTTTCGGCCTGATCTGTCTCTTGTAAAGATAGGTATCAGGTACTTACTGGAGTATTACAGGGAACCGACCATTTTCCCAGCATCTTTAGCGATGGATCGTATGCACGAATTACACTTGAGGTCTGGGTTGAGCTTAAATCTCAATAACCGCTCAAGGCACGAGGCCTTTCTGAATGAACTGCTTTTCACGTGGTAAGTGAAAATTCTGTGTCTGCTCGGTGTTGTAATAGCTGAAAAACGTAATAAATGAGAAAAACACAAAATGGAACGCTATAACAGAACACGGGAAATATGACACCGAAATTCGAAATAGTTAAAGATGCTTTCCAAAAGCTAAAAAACATTAAGAAACAAAAATTTTTCTTTATAAATAGTGTACAACTGTGATTTAATCTCAATCTCCCTATATGACAGGGGATGCTGGACAAATCCCTCACAGATAAAAAGGAGACTTGAGGCAAGAGACATGGGGTTCTATAGAAGGGTGCCGAGAATACCATGTAAGCAAGGAGGAATTTTAATGAAAACGCTATCAAAAATGATACTTGTACTTCAAAAATTCGTGAATTTGATACTCAAAGGCCATATTGAAAACAAGAGGAACATAGGGAAATATCAAGTAGCATACCAAACGAGTTTGGTTTACAGAACATAGACTGCGAGGGAGAGTAAGGGGTGAAACGTTGCTAATGTATCGCATTTTATATATTGTACATCCGTCTTTGTTTACTCACAGGCCATAGTGTAAACAAGAGGAACGTAGAGAAATATCAAGTAGCCTACCAAACGAGTTTGGTTTACAGAACAGGGACTGCGAAGGGAGAAACGTTGCTTAGATTTACAAAGGAAAATAATAAGTTGTGGAGAGCCGTGATCTTCCCCGTCAGGTGAAAAAAGAAACTGAAGTCTTCAAGAAAATGGAAGAAGAAACGACATTTAAACTCAGAAAGAGGCAGATGAAATTTCCGGGTAACATAATGAGGAAGGAGGTCTTGGAGAATTTAATACTCACAGGGACTATTTGAAGGCAAGAGGGAGGGGTGGGGGTAGCAGGCCACCAAGTTCATTATTAATTTTTGACTAATATCTCTTTCATCTTGGTTTTTATTTTCACCCAGACAACCAACTGGAGATGTTAAAATCAAACAAGTACAGAAGTTTTAACAGAGAAAGGAAAAATGTAACCCCGAAATCCGAAGGCGAATTGGAAACGACAAAACCTCATAAGATTGATTAATCAACCGATTGAATCATTTTCTATGGGTTATCAACCCTTTACTGGTTATTTAAAGCCAGAAAGCATTTGTTTAGATTTTAAGTTTCTACAGAAGCATGCTGAGAATAGCATGGACTGAACATCTGAACAACAATGTCGTTCTACAGAAGGATTATACATCAACTCCAAGAATTCGTATTTTCGCGTATCCAATCACTTTCAGCTAGTACTTGTCATTTTTCAAAGACATTTTGTTGTGTCGTCAGTTTCAAAAAGTGCACAAGTTTTAATATCTTGGTTGTGTTTTAACAGAGAATGGAAAATGTAACACCAAACTCCAAACACACATGGGAATAGTAAAAGAC